GCCTCAAAATCCCCGACCTTTTTACTGCAGTTCGCAAGCTTCTTTTCTCCCTCGATACACTACAAATATCGACATTACCAAAACAGAACTGGAGAAAATCAAGCCTCTATAAGCTAAAACTCTATCAGAAGAATGCAAAATTAAGATTTATAATCTACAAGAAGACCTCAATGAGTATTCTCGAAACTTGACCTACATACAACAAGAACACAAAAGACCGATGTCTTAAAAACATATAAAAAGATGGGACCCACAAACAACCGTAAGGTGACCACTAACGTACAGTGGTGAGAAAAAGTAATGATGTCAAATAAGAGAATAACACTTTAAAGTGCTGAAAATAAACCTACCTTACGTCCTGCGATCTCTCCCTCAACATCTTCGCAAACTTCCACTTTCTCAGCTAGAATTAAAAGAGTAGCAGAAGAAATAACCGCAGAACCCCCAGAATCATTTTGTACAGATCCAACGCATTTAACCCTAAGTCTCTGACTACACTCAGGCGCACCTTCAGATGACAATAAATCAACTGACTCAGCGGTACCACAGTTAGAAGTCTGCTGACCATAACTACCGTTTTTTATTTCTTGCAGATATTCTAGTTCCTTCACGCCTTCATTTTTTGGGGACAGAAATGAACGAATATCTTTGCTTCTGACATTGCACCTTCGAGGTGTTTTTTTCACACTCGTACCAGAAAACCTATCTTCTTTCGAAAAACTTTCTTTCTTTTTTGAAGTTTTACCTGTGAGGTCTTCATAGTTTTCAACAGACTCATCAATTCCAGACATCTTCTCACAGCAGTCAAATCCGTCTAGAACTTCTTGACGTGCACGAGCAGTGAAACCTGCATTTAAACCGTCTAATACATCCGGAGACTTTATTTCGAAATTACTTTCTTGGGTCACAGCAACTTTTTTTTTTACTTTTTTACTATTGTCTTCTATCCTTTGTGGTTCTGCAACCGTCTGCCTCTCTGCAAAAATATCAGTTTTACTAGCATTTTTGTCGCGCACTTTTTTCTTAATCTCAGAATGTGTCTCGTTATCTGAGTCATCTGATTCCTCCAACCAAATATCACTTTTATGAAAACTTTTCTTAGTGAGGTCAGAAGCATTATCTTCTTGTATCTCTCCTATATCCTCCTTCAGATTGACTTTTAACTTTTCTTGATCTACTTTCAAAGGAGAGCTCTTTTTCTGCGAACCACTAATATTTTGCTTTGGAAGCTCAGGTACTGCAAAGCTGCAAAAGTCGGTGGAATTTTCAGTGGCGCAAGGCTTCGCAAATGACGAAAAACTGAAACAAAAAACCGTCTCAGCATTCTTCAAATAAAGAAAGGTAAAATAAGCATTTGGGATTGTGTTAGCAAGAAATCAAAAATTAAAAAAAGTCGATTACTTATTTAAATCAAAAGAACACATTCTGACTTTCCTTTTAGACAACCAATTCATCAACGAAAAAATTGAATTCGCTCCAATGACACTTCCACCACCAGAAATTTTAAAAAAAATTCATTTGCAACCATGTAGGAATCAAAAAAAAGAACCTCGACTGTGACTGCGAATCAACGAGATATTCAGGCGGCAAACGGGCGATAAGAGGAATGGAGTCACTTCTCGAAAGCCCCTCTTCAAAAAATAATGCGTTTTCACTGAAAATGAAAAAACTTCACTACAAAGAAAAATAGTCGAGTAAACATTTGAGACATAAGGACTAGGTAATTTAGAGTGGATGCAAGTGAATATTTTTTACTTTCGTTCATTGAACTTCTCTCGTTGTCTTTCCGTTAAATGGACCTTCTTACTTTTCCGCACAGGCTCTATAGTAACAAAAACCTCATCCTCATCACTGGCTCGCCTTACCCTCCTTTTTGATACTGCTCGCATGCATCTAGAGGGCGACTTTACTGTAGTAACTGATGTTACCGGTTTCTTTGCAGGTAGATCAAGCTAGAAACAACATAATCTAAATTCGAAAACTTTATTCCGAAAACTCTTTAAAACAAAAGAAACGACAAAAATAACTTCTGCTTCACAAATAACCAGGTAAAAACCTACGTAATCAAAATTAAGAAAGTTGGACTGCAGAAACAAGTCACTGACAACTTTCACCTATCTTCTAAACTTACCTTCAGAAAAAAAACGGCTTGCACCATATTTCTACTTCAGAGCCTAATCATCTAATTGGGATGTTTATTAACAATCTGACCATATGAATGTTTGACAAAAAGCTAAAAACCTCAAAGCTCGTCCGTTTCGAATTTACCATGACTGGAGCACTGGGCTTACACTTTTCCACAGGCCTTTTCGCAACCATTTTCAGTAATCCACCTGAAGAACCAATACATACAATACTCTAGAATAAAGCAAAATCTAGAAGCAATATCAGTCCGTAAAATATAAAGCGAAATAACGATTCAGATCAAGATCCTAACAGCCCAGTAACCGTAATCCTTCTAGAAGATTAATACAGAGTAGTGCTGAGGAAACCTCCCGTCCCTGCAACTTTACAGTATTTCCAGAAACATAAGGAAATTCCCAGAAACATGCAGCAAAACATGAAATGGATATACCGCTATCTATATAATATATATATAACCTATCTAACTGATAGACGCTTGAAAATTGCGTAACTGAATTTGCAAAAAGACCACCAACCAAGTAGCACCAAACGCCTTCAAAGAACGCAAGTATCACTTACGGGAACTGTAGAGTAAAACAGGATTTACAACTACCATTTTCCCGCAAATAATTCAAAAATTTACGCGTTAAGATGCACAACCTTAATTTAACAGCTTTCTTCAGATGTGAACAGGTATGGATGGTTATTTCTTGTGAGACTGAATGCTACCTTTCAGTAATTAGTACTCAGATTTGGTCTTTTCAACGTCGCTACTTTGTGAAGTGTGATTTGAATTTGTGAAAGTACAGAATACGTCCTGAAAAGTGGAGTCTCTATCAAATTATACTCCAGTAAAGTAAAAAAAAAATTTTTTCTTTTCCTTTTTTGAACAACTGGTGGACGTTCATAAGAGTTTGTAAGTTTGTCACCTGCAACTAGGGGTGGATGGTTTCGTATTCTCCTAAAAAGCCGTATTATTTTAGTCCCATAATAACATACGATTTTTGCAAGTTCCACAGAAATAAAATCAGGTTTTGAATAAAGTATAAAGCTGGTCGACCATTTCTTGTTTATTGAAAGATTCGTTTCGCTGAAATTATCTGTCCTCTAAAACAAGAAGACAACTTTCGGAGTAAAGTTTTTGTTGGATCAAAAGTTAAGTTTACTCCTGCAAAGATGGAAACGAAGTTCACACAGAATTTGTGGCTAAGTAACTGCATTGAAGTATGCTTAAAACGGTTTGCTTGAAAAAATAAGATGTTGTACTTTTTATGTCTAAAAGACTTATTTATTTTTCACAAACTTTTATGTATAGCCAATATTTTGCCCGTATTTGGCTGAGCAGTTTCTGTCAATGTTTCACAATCTGTTGGAATCCGTTTGCTGAAGCCGCTTGACAAAAGGAAAGACAAAATTACGATTAATTAGAGAAGTGTGGCCTGAAAAGTTACCGGATGTTGTCCGGCAGTGGTTGGCATCGTTACGTTGCTCCTCAGTTTTCAAGCTAATGGGTCCTTCGCTGTTCCCTGCGATCTCATCGACGGATTTCTCTTTTCAAACAGCTCCCGCAAACCCTTTTGAATAATTTTTAAGGTGTTGCTGCTGTAATGCCGGAAAAACCCAGGGAGCTGTATATAAAAGCAAATGTTGAGTAAATTCTTGTTCTAAACAGGATTATGAAAATGTATTTAGTCTCCAACGGCAACCAGAGGCAATAGTGGGGGCTAAAGTGAGTGTGGAAAATCAGGTGGGTCTGTAAAAGCGCATCCGTATAACCCTAAAGTTTTTTTGTCCTGCAAATGTTATTTATTTCTGACATAAAGTTATTTTCAGTCACCGAGTATTGATTGGGAGGAGTTTTGAACAGTCGTATCGTAGCCTAAAATTGGACAGATTGTCTTGAAGTCTTTGTTTTATTACCCGTTTTATATTTCACTGACATTTAGTCACTGCTCCTGAACATTTCGTCAAAGCAAGAATTCTTTTTAAGAAAAATGCATTTTAGAAAGTCGATTATGCAGTATTCCTCATTTTTGCTTTAAAATTGGACGGATCATATTCAGCTTGCACGAAACCAAGTTAATTCTATGTCTAATCTGTGCTTTCTACCAGTAAAAAGAAATTAATTTAAAACCTCAAAACTTCAAAACTCAACGTTTTAAATATATATATAGTTCTTCCGTGAAATTGGCGAATAATTTTTTTAAATCAGTTCGTCATCTCGGTACGAAATTGGCACTCTGATTTCCTGTTATACGGTTCTTCTGAACGTTGTCAACAACTAACGCTCGGTTTGTCTTCACAAACCTGATGGTTACAGCATGATTTCGTTACGTATAAGTTCATCACAACTGTGAGACATGGCGTATTTTTAAATTCAGGCGTAAACTTAAGATTTAAAAAAAATTACCATTTTGTTTTTTGTATTTACCATTGCAAGACAATATGCGCAGAACAAACTCTTGTATTATTTTTGGAGCGACAAAACATACATTTCCAATATTTTATTGTTCACGAAAGTCTATACCTTACTTTTCACTGCAATACATCCATTTATTTCAATTTTTGGTGTGTCAAATACCGGCTTTTCATCTTCAACCTTACAGAATCCTTTCACAGTTGAGCAAAATTCTGATTTCTTTATAATATCTCATCCTAATACGCGTAACTTCGTCTGTTATGTTAAAAAAATGCCATTTAAAATATCGACTTTAGATGAAAAAATGAAAAGCAGTGGCAAAATTGAGCTTTGGAAAAATTGTTAGGCTTATTTTCGAAGTTGTGACGATGTCAGCTGAGCGCTTAAATAAAAACTTGTTTTACTGCTTTTTTTCCAGAGTATCATATGCTACTCTGAGGCATTAAATGCGCAGATATGGCCATTATATTCCAAAAATTTAAAAAGTATGACAGTCCAGTGTCAAATCAGCAATCAGACTTCTATAACCATAAAGTTGTGCACTGAAAAAAAATTTTTTTCGTGATACTATACATTACAGGGTACAAGGTCTCAAGCGTTTCGTTCTGATTATCTAAAAATACTGTCTGCAGTCATGCATCCTGTAAAGTAACAAAAAAAAAGCAAATTAATTTACATATACTATCAGCAGCGTTTCATTGACTTCGATGAACATATCTGACTTTTCAGAGAGGTCAGAAACGGAGAACCTGCACCGCCTATCAAACAACGATTGGATAGGATAAAACACTCTTAGACTTAACCTATAACTCTGTTAATGCCGTTGAAAAAAATCTATATTTTATAATTCTGCAACCTTAGTAAAGTGAAATGATTCACAATTAGGTACGGTGTAATTGAACGGCAGAAGATAATAAAAAAAATTCCTTTTTTTGTTCAAATTTTGAAAATAAACCAATACATTTGGATTTGAAGTGAACATTTACTAGTTTCATCAGTAAAAACAACTGCCTCGTATTTGTCTGCCTAATTTTCCGTATGAATATTTTTCAGCGGTGAAACTGAACATTGAAAAAAAATGAGTTCTTCAAAATACACTTTTTTCATCAAACAGTTGCCCATAGTGATTTTTGATCAGCACAATTTTGCAAGATTTTGACGCTAAACTCTAATTTCAT